TAAAAATAAAACCCCATTTTTCCATCTACACAAAAAGCCTACAGACAAAAATTGGAGATGTTGCTTTATGATGATCTTTTTTATCTTGAACAAGATAGTTGGACATTTAAATCAAGACAGGCGATTCATATGGAATGTGAAGATCTTAATTTGTTTGCTTATATGCAACTTAAGGACAATTTTAATCAAGAAAAGAGAAATGCAGCCATAGAGAAAATGAGATGACAATGTAATTTAAAAAGTGTACAAATGGCTTCTGAAATTAGAGACAGAAGATGAGACTGTAAAAGCATATATGATAAGGTGGGACCAAAACTGTGGGCATAATGTTCATTAGATGTATGGGGAGAAATGTGGTCTAAAGATACAAAATTTACATTGTACAGTAATTTAAATGGAAAACTGCATAAAATGATGAATAGATGGTATTTAACTCCAAATAAGCTGTCCAAAATGTCCCAGAATGTTTCAAATCAATGTTGGGGATGCAAGATAAAAAAAAAAGCTCCTTCTTTCCTATGTGGTAGACTGGTAAGAAAGTGAAAAGTTATTTGTTTAAGATTTCCATGTTATGTTATATGTTCTTTTCTTTCTGTCTTTTTGTTTTCTGAATATATATTACTTTGATTGCAAATTAGATTGCTCATGTTAAAATTAATTTAAAAATAATATATGTAGGATTAACATATAAATCTGTAGGATTAACACAGTTTTTGTAATCAATCAATATTAAATATTGCTGTTGGGTATTATGGATAAAGAACTGAAGAGCAAATATGTACTATCACTTTGATATATAACAGCAGCAAGAATTTTGTTGGCTCAAACCTGGAAATGGAATGAAGCACCGACGATGAAAGAATGGATTGTTAAATTCATTGAATTAGCCCAAATGCCTAGATTAACATGGATTCTAAAGGCTACGTCAATTGAAGTCTTTTTTGAAAAATTGCAAATCATTTATGGATTTTTTTGAACAACAGAGATCTAACAATGTAATAATTTGTAGTCATGGTTTTTAGTAACTTCAGTAGGATTATTTAGTTGGATCTGTAATGGTGGAATAATATTTTTTCCTCTTTACTTTTTTCCCCTCCTTACAGTTAGGATAAGGGGGTCAGAGCCCTATTGTGTATTAGACATTTCTCCTTTTTCTTTTTCTTTTCTTTCTGTCTTTTTGTTTTCTGAATGTATATTACTCTGATTGCAAATTAGATTGCTCATGTTAAAATTAATTAAAAAATAATATTTAAAAAGCCTACAGGTATGCCTATAGACGTTTGCAATCTTTGTTGCAAATGTTTCTCTAGAAGACATGGTCTGTACTCTACTGGTTCCAATTGTTTTAATTGCCCATCATAACACCCAGTGACAATGAATTCCATAGGTTAAATATGTGTTATGTGAAAAAGTACTTTTTATCATTCCTAAATCTATTGTCAAGCAATCTCGTGTTATGAATCCAATTGTTATGATGACGGAAGAACAAAATGGTTTTTTACTAGCTTCATTATTCATGCAGGAATATTATGTGAATCAAAGCACATACAGACCTTTGAATGTGGATCAAATGTTTCTGACACTGAATTTTACAACTGTATACTGTCCCTCCTTTCTTATTTCTTTTATTTAGACAGATAGATAGACAAATGGACAGATTAAATTCTAACTTTCCTTTTCAACAACAAGCCATTTTTCAGTTGAAAATAAATGCACACAGAAGACCAGGCTGTTGAGCAACTCTCAGACGATCTAGTAGCTACTATATACTTTGGATACTTTATCTTTAAAATATGCATTATCTACCACACAGGAATCCCATATTTAAACATTAAAAACAAGGGAGCTTTTCATTGTGCTAAAAATGCCAATACCATAAAGATAGACATCTGAAAAAGTATCAAAATGTTTTAACATGATATATTAGCATTTCTACTATTCTGATTAGTGCATTATGAGCCAGTATTGGTATACAGTGGGCCCTTGGTAACCACTGGGGTCTGGTTCCAGGACCCCTGTGGATACCAAAATCATGGATGCTCAAGTCCCATTAAATACAGTGGCATAGTAAATTGGTGTCCCTTATATAAAATGGCAAAATCAAGGTTTACTTATTTGGGATTTGTATATTTTTTGAATATTTTCAAGCTGTATATGCTAGTTTTATATACAGTCTGCCCTCTCTATCCATGGATTTTTTAATCCATGGATAGAGAGGGCAGACTGCATATAAAACTAGTACACATTATAGCATAAATAGGTTAATGTGTAAGGTGTACCTCTGGAAAAGACAAATGTCTAAATTCCATACTGGAGAAAGACAAATTATTTGTCCAGTCATGTTTATTATAAGTAACTAAAATGAATTAGGTTGAATGATTCACTTTTACAGAAAATTCCAAAAAATTCCTCTAATAAAACACAGCCAATTTAACTAATAGGTACTGTGGATTAACCTTAAAGAACAATGAATGAAATCTAGTCTTGTCCCCTTTAAAGCAAGAGGGTGATTGCAACAAATCAGAGATCTCACTGGCTTATAGCCTAATAATTCTAGATTGACCCAAATTTTGAACAACAATCAACATCAGCACTTTTAGTCATCCTGTTTTGTTGTGTTTTCTTCCTAAATCAAAGAAGAGTTTTATAAAATCCTTCAAGCCCAAATATTTTGAAATCAACTTACCGCCAAGAGCTTTTCAGATCAGATGAGGTCAGAGGATAGATAAATAGTGAGGAATCCGCAAAAACAAACCAGTATTTATATTGTGAGGAAGCCACCTGCCACAGCACAATCTGCTTACAATCAGGGTATTTTTTTCTTCTTCGATCTCTGAGTAGATGGAAAATACAGTATATGAAATTTTCAGTCTCTCTTTCTTTCTTTTGTTTTCAACCTGCCCTTTTGCACAAAATGACATAATTTTTTCTCTCCTCTTTTGAGAAATCAGACTTGGTTTTCTGTTAAACCACAGACATGTAGATATATAGGTTGCATGAGTTTATGTATGTGTCATGTACACACTTCTACATACAGGAGAAATCCCAACTGATAAATTCAGGTGAAATATAATTGTATAAATGACAATGGAGCGTGTATGACTTTTACTAACATTTTCCACACAGAACTTTTAAAAATGGGTCCCCACTGACATCACTTCTATCTTCCTATATTTATCCAGGTGTACATTTGTAACATTCCCAAAAGATCACTGTGTGAACACCCTTCACAAATCATTAGACACTGGGCAAAGGTTTTCCTCTGTATGCAGTTATGCTGCAATTGCCCATCAAAAATAAAAGAGAGGACACTTGTTTTTCTCAGTTAAGTACAGAACAGAAATGTATGGTTGTCCTATTACCTTGCCAGTAATTAAATAATCTCAGAACTGGACTACGCAAATTCTCAGACTGACAGGACCAGGCTCACCATGCGGCGAACAACTCAGGGAACAAATTTCAAGCACTGTGTGCCATTAAAACCTAAATGACTTTAGAGACTCTACACCTTGACTTGGAGGGTAGGGGTGAGGAGGTGTTGTTTGCTGCTCTACTTCAGGCAGCAAAATGGCTTGGGACAGCATTGCTGCTACACTCTAACTTTAGTGCTAGCATGTGTATACATTTACATTCATGCACATTAGAGACATGCTGAATCCCCTCGCCTCATCCATAGATACTAAGCTTCTTTATTTAGCAACCTTAAACATGGCAAATGTGGCAGCACACAGTGACATTTAACAACAAAAAAGGCTGTCCTCTAAAAGGCAAAATAGGGATCATGATCAACCCTCTTTTCTGGTAAAAATAGCAACTGTCTCTGGTAAATAGGGCAAAGAAGCAGAAAAGCACCAGCAAACCGACAGGAACAGGAGGAAACAACATGCATAATTGGATCTGATCTTTTGTTGTTATTTATCAATAAAGCTCAGACATCCTCACTTACGGTAAATGACTAAATATTTCTAATTTGATTTTTTTCCCCAATGCTCCGAATATTCCCTCTCCATCCACCTCATAAGTGAGGAACAATTAGAATGTATGTACATAACTTTGTCTATATTTTAGAATACATCACTATTTATTTGTTGATTAACTATTTATCTATTGATCACTATTTATTTGTAGAATACATCACTATTTATTTCTTTTATGTAGTAATTTGCAGCTAAGCCTCACTAAGCAATTATAAAAATAATTATTATTAAAATAATTTAATATGGCTGCATCTGCACTGCAGAAATAATCCAGTTTGATACTACTTTAACTGCCTCGGCTCAATGCTATGGAACACAGGGAAGTTTTGTGAGACATTTAGCCTTCTCTGTCAGAGAGCTCTGGCACTGCGGTGCAGATGCAGCCTACAATAATTAAATTATAATTGAGTAAAAATTATATAATAAAGCAGTTAAGACAACCAACCTTTCTAAAAGTCTCATACCACCCTAAAATAGGATTGCCTTGTACAGTAGTTGAGCAGGGGCAAAAAATGGAGGAAAATGGCAACTGAGCTGGAACAGAGTTTAAAAAATTGTAGCAAGCTATCTGCCTCATCTCTCATCTCCCCAGGCCAAGATGAGGGAAAGGGATGGGCAGCAGTGGAGGGAAGGTAAGGTTGACTTTACTTAGCTGGGACACTAAAATATCACATTACCTGGGGCCCACACACACTACAAAATTATAGTACTACTATTCCACTTTAACAGCCCTGGAATCCTTGGATTGGAAGTTCAGGAAGGGGCATTTCGAACCTTCAGCCAGAAGGATCTTCCTCTGGTGCCTCTGACCAAACTACAAATCCCAGCCACCTTGGCAGCTGCAGTGAATAATAGCATTATATTTGTGTAGTGTGAATGGGCCACTGAAAAGTATCAGTTGTTGTTGTTATTGTGTGCCTTCAAGTCATTTCTGTCCTATGGCAACTCTAAGGCAACCCTATCACAGGGTTTTCTGGGACTGAGAGTATGTGACTTGCCCCAGGTTACACAGTAGGTTTCCATGGCCAAGCAGGGAATCGAACCCTGGTCTCTAGAGTTATAGCCCAATGCTCAAACCACTATATCATGTTGGCTCTATAACGTATCTCTGCCCACACACTTTCTTTTTGGTCCCTGTCCTAGATTATCCTAAATGCCATCTGTACTTCTAGAAGTACTTTTTTTAAATTTAAATACATTTTAAAATATCTATGTATTTATTTAACAAAACTAAGAAATAACCATATGGTGCTAACCACAACCCATTCTTTACACAAGCATTTGCTCCACTGTCGGTGTATTCAGTTTACCATGTAGCCACAGATTATAACCATGTGAGAATATAGGAAAAATATAGAGAATGAGGGGTATTATCTCAACAATGCTCAGAAATTGTGCAAAAGAATCCCCAAACCTAATTTACAAGCTCTGATTATCTGGTTGCCTGATGTTTTCGTGTTCAGATGGCTGCCAGTAAAAGAAAGGAGAGCCTATTTTCTTTCCTTCACCTAGTTTCTCTTATTGTTATTTTATCTTTATTTTATCCAGGGTTCTTGCAAGCCAAGATGCAATTGCCTGGCATTGTTCACCAAATTTTATGAAGTGTCTACACTTGGTAGAGCTCTATTTGTAACCCCCTTAAGCTTTCTCAGGATTTTTATTGCTATGCAAAATGTGTTTATGAAGGAAAGATGGAAGAGCTGCCCAGTACCTTTTGACTGATAGTACCGCTGTCCATCTGGAAGCACACTGCTTTTGTACCAGGCTCTGTGCCAAACTCTGAGACTATCATGTACTGCTGGATCCTGCCTTTGGCACTCGCTCTAGGCTCTGTCTGCAGACACTACTTAAGCATTTATGTATGTAAGATTGTACTTTTCAAAAGTGCATGGCTCCTGCCACATTCTTACTCAGCAGTGGTGTGGAGGTACATTTTGAAGTGCAGACCCTATCATAATAACCTGAAGGAGAGTTAACAAAATGCAGACAGCTGTGTTGCTCGATATATTAAATTGAGCAATTTGTAGCTGCTTTTACCTCTGCCTGGAGCAGGTCTTTTGCAAAACTAATGGGCCTTCATGATGCCCATGCAACATCAGGCTATCCTCCAAATACTTTGGCTTGCAATGGGAACTGCTCACAAAAACAAGCTACAAAAATCCATCTCCACCAGCAGCAATTACTGTACTGAATGCACTTTAACTCAGAAAGAAAAAGTGGGGGGAGAGGGAAAACCAGGTAGGTAGAAAGGTAGACAGACAGACAGATAGATGGAGGTGGGGGAGGAAGAAACAAGGTATCTTGATGCAGATGGCATCATTCTGCTAGCTGTTCAAAAAAATCCTGAGGCTTCTGACCTGCATAGACATCATGCATAAACACATGCATAAACATCACTACTCCTCAGCACAGTAAAGAATGTGCAAAGATTATTTTTGGTGACTTGAGAGTTAATATTTGAAGATAGGGTCATTCGTCTCCAGGTGGAAAGTGGGAAGAAGCTGCCAGTAGTTTTTAAGATGGCTGTGGGAAGAATAATGGTTACTTATAAATTCTCTTCCTATAACCACTTCACAACTTCAGGACCAAAACAGATGTGACATAGAAGCATCATTATAAACCAGAACAACTGTTGTTAGTATGAGGGGAAGAAGTTTTAGGAACACCTTCAAAATATTATTATTATTTATCCACTCATAACCACTGGGGTTTTTGTAAATTGTTTTGTACTTATTTATTGTTTACTGAAAGACCTTTGTTGTTTTACAATACAACCAATAAAACTAAGGAATAACACGCAGTTATATTGCTGGCGGTACAAGATGCATAACAATAAGCCATTGTGGTTCCTTTCCCGGCCTGTCTCAGGTTACTGCTGGGCTAAGGTCATGTTCTTACATGCTAAACCATTTAAAACTGAAAAGCGGCTCACAGTTGCCACTTTCACCTCTACTGATTTGCCTGTCCTAGTATTATATTTAAATTAACAAAGTAGGAGGGAGGGAGGAATGTGGTGTAAAGGGGTAAGAAAGAAAAGGAAGATGAAGAAAAAACAAACCAGCACATAGTAATGGTGTAACAGAGGGGATAGGAAGTGTAAGAGAAAGTAAAATGTCTTCTACTCCTCAGCCTCCTGCAACCACAGTGAGAACATGTTCAGAGGTATTCTATGTTTAACCCTTAGATACACAAATGTAAGTGAGACCCAGTGTGGTATAGTGGTTTGAGTGTTGGACTATCAGTCTAGAGACCAGGATTCAAATCTCTGCTTGGTCATAGAAACCCACTGGGTGACCTTGAGCAAGCCGCAATCTCTCTGCCTCAGAGAAAGGCAATGGCAAACTTCTTCTGAATAAATCTTAATAGTGTAATATAGTGGTTTGAGTGTTGGGCTAGGACTCCAGGAGACCAGAGTTCAAATCCCTGCTCACCCATGGAAACCCTTGAATGACTTTGGACAAGTCACACTCTCTCTCAGCCTCAGAGGATGGCAATAGCAAACCCCCTCTGAAGAAACTTGCCATGAAAACCCTGTGATAGATTTAGGGTCTCCATTAGTCAGAAACAACTGGAAGGCACACAACAAGAACAAACACAAATGCAAATGACCTTGTCTTAAAACAAGGTGTGTGTGTGTGTGCAGTGGGGTAAGAGAATATGTTTCTTATGGCAAGTCCTAGTGTGAAAAGCCTCTGCAACACTATCACAAGCTGAGACAACTAAAAACTGTGCAATTAAGAGCTTCCCCTAGCAGACAACTAATGGTGGAGGGTAAAACACTTTGGACTTTCCATCCCCTCACCTTTTCTGGAGTCCCATCCTCTCAGCAGGTCCAGCAGATGATCTGGTCACTTCTCTTGGTCTCTATGTGCAGGCAAGGAGCAGCAATCTGAACTACCACACCTGAGCCCACCTCATTTTATTGCCATGGGTTCTTTGCGTCACTTTCCAGGCCCCTCCTTACCCCTTTGGCACAATCCCGCTAAGAAAAAGGTTGGGGAGGGTTTTTTGGGTGGGAGAAGAGGGGAAATCCTAGAATCAACTGTTCTTTCATTATGGGGCAATTCCTCACATGCTCTTTTGATACTAAAGGCACTCAAACATAAACACCTGAAGCAAGCAGAACCCGCTCTGACATACTTTCACTAGCTCTTGTTTTCTTCTCTTATTAGCAGTCCTGCTGTCTGAGAGAGTGAAATCGTCCCATCACTTGCACTGCAAGGACAGGAAGCGGTGGGGCAATTACATTGGTAGGCCCAGCTCAACCTTTTGACATTTTATTTGACATTTTATTAAAGCATTCTCTTCTCCTTTTCTGAGAGGTTTGAGATCCAATGTAGATTCCAAATAGATAGCTAAATAAAAGAAATGTATGTGTGTTTCTTTGTGTTAGGAAGAATGGGAGATATGTGGGAGATACAAATAGACATATTATAAACCACATTTTATGTGGCACCTAAAAGATTCACAAGTTTATGGAAGTAAAAAAGATTTGTACACTCAGCCCTCCATATCCACAGATTCTTTATCCACAGATTCAACCATCCATGGCTTAAAAATATTCAAAAACTATAAATTCCAAAAAGCTAACTTTGATTTTGCCATTTTATATAAGGGACTTAATTTTACTAAACCACTGTATATAACAGGACTTGAGCATCCACAGATTTTGGGAACCAAGCCCCAATAAATACCAAAGGCTCACTGTATAGCAAAGAGAGGCAGGACTTCTATCAAAATATATTCATTTAATATTTTCAAGTTGTGGATGGTTGAATCCATGGATAAGGAATCCATGGATATGGAAGGCATGACATGTGACCATTCTACAACTTGGTCCATCACCATGGACCAAGAGAAAGAGAGGTTTAGAGATTAGGAAGGGTTCCCCAGACAATCCCCAGTTGTGGTATAGGCAGCCATTTGCCTTCTGAGAAACATTCTTGAATAAGAGTGGCAGCCATTTTGCTTGTCCAGACATGTGTTCAGGATAGGGATACATTGTAGAAAAACAGGACAAGGCTCCAGTACCTCCAACAGTTGTGTAGAAGTGGAAATTTCTGCAGGTGTTGCTTGTGATGCAAACTCCCTTGCTAAAATTTCCTGCACAAACATTAAAGGTTCAGGAGTCCTGTCCTGTTTATCATCAAGCAATCCTATTTCAGGAGAGAATATGGAGGTGCTGAACATCCGCCTTTGGCACATGTGGCTCCCTCTGCAACATTTAACCCAGAAAGGCAAAGATCTGAGTAAAGAAATCACAGCTGATAATTTTCTCCCCCAGGTTTGAAAATTAGCACCAGAAAAGAAGAGCTTGCTATTTCCTCAGGGAATTTGCCTGTAGTCATTTGTAGAGAGAGAAAAGTTCTAAGTATTCAAATTGTGTTCTTAAACACTACAAGGGAAATGAGGGCCAGCATGATGTAGTGGTTTGATCATTGGATTCTGGAGGTTAGGGTTTAGTTCCCAGCTCGGCCGTGAAACCCACTTGGGTGATCTTGGGCAAGTCACATGCTCTCAGCTTCAGGAGAAGGCAATGGCAAACTTCGGGCCTAAGCAGACTGCCAGAAATAGTGCACATTAAATTGAGGCACTGTCCTGGCTCAGTGCTAGGGAATCATGGGAACTGTAGTTTATTGTGGCACCAGAGCTCTCTGACAGAGAAGGCTCAATTTCCCAGAAAAAAACCCAATTCCCGTGATTCCCTAGCACTGAGCCAGGGCAGTGCCTCAATTTAATGTGCACTATTTCTGGCAGTCTGCTTAGGCCTTTCCTCTCAACAAATCATGGCAAGAAAACCCCATGATAGGTTCACTATAAGTCAGAAATGACTTGAAGCCACACAGCAACAAAAACAAACTAGACAACCATCTCAGTTTAGAGCAGGGGTAGGCAACCTTTTTGAGCCGGGGGCCGGGTTGCTGTCCCTCAGACAATTGACGGGCCGAAGCACCAAAAATAAATAAATAAATAAATAAATAAATAAAAATTAAAATTAAAAAAGAATTAAAAATTTTAAAAAAAATGCATGCACACACTCTCAGCCCCAGAAATGCCATGGCAAAACCCCTGTGAAGATTTTGCCAAGAAAACCCCAAGAACAAGTAATAACAACAATAATCAATTTCATCATGGGGGGGCAGCGACGATGGGGGGGGGGGGCGGCGGCAGGACCGGTTTGGGGCTGGTCCAAAAGCCTTGCTGGGCCGCATCCAGCCCCCGGGCCTTAGGTTGCCTACCCCTGGTTTAGAGCAATCCTGATATTTTCAAAGAAGAATGTAAGCAGCCTGTGAAAATGACATAGGTTTACTCACTTTTGATCAAGGATAGCAAAGTAAAAAACTCATGTTTTGATGAAGTTTAGTGTAATTTTACAAATAAAATAAAAATAAAATAAAAATAAATAAATAAATAAATAAATAAAAATTTACAAATAAAATGGTAACATTCATACCTGACATCCTGCCTAACAGCTGCAGACACATTACAATTACATTGCCCAACCTGGAAAAGCCAGTTTTATTTTGAGAATAGCACTGTTTTATTCCCCCACTCTGTCATTTATAAACATATTCCTAATTTACCTGTAATCTTTCACTTCATCCTAGCGACATTTAAAAACTGTTCCTTTCTAAAAGGCTTGCCTCCACAATGCAAAACCTGAATTAAATGTAATTAATCAAGTTTTTGATTATTTTGTCTGTAACAATCCCACAAGATAAACTGTGTCATTACATGCATGCACGCACACACATACACCCTTTAGATGTGAAGACAGCCACACATCAAGAAATGAAGTACAAGTTGAGTCTCGCTTATACAGAATTACGAATTCTGAAATACTCCAAAATCCAAAAGTGTCCACATGGGTGGCTGAGATAGTGACGCCTTTAATTTCTGATGATTCAGTGTACATAAACATTATTTTATGCACAAAAGTTTTTAAAATATTATGTATAAAATTATATTCAGGCTATGTCTGTATATACAAAAGATAAATGAATTCCATGTTTAGACTTAGGTCCCATCTCCAGGATAGCTCATTATGTATATGCAAATATTCCAAAATCCTTTTAAAAATCCAAAATCCAAAACACTTCTAATCCCAGGCATTTTGGATAAGGGAGACTCAATCTGTTTTTGTAACAATAATACTAACAGCCTAGGCCTAAAGTCTTACCAGTTTAAACCCTGCTACATTCCAATCTAGACTGCAGATTCAAAGGAAATGGTTAATCCAGGTGCAAGGGGATTAAATCCAATGTCCCACTGATGAAATTTTTGGAACTTTCTTCTTTCTCCTGTTCCCCTCACAGCTTTCAATGTCATCTGAAAAAAAAACAGCTGCAGAGGTTTACCCAATCCCTTTGAAGGGGTTTTGAGGTGCCCATCAACTCCAATACTTCAATACAGAGAGTGGAATTGCCACCTGCCTACTTCATTGAGAACTTGCTATTGCGTTAGCCTGCTGCTGGACCTTGCTCAAATTATAAATATATTTTAAAATTCTGAATGTTTAACTGTATCCCAATCCAAAAATAATTAGCTAAAAGCCTCTTTCTGCAGCCTCTCTGGGTTTTAAAATATTCAGATCCTTGCCATAAAAAGCCTATTGTAAATAAAAAAATAACAGAGCAGTTTCCTTAAAACTCAACACATAGAATATTTAAATCAAAAGATGTGTTGAAATACTGGCCTATTAGCATAGATGCAGAAGCTTAATGAAAATAATTGGAAAAGAATAGAAAAATAAGACACCTGAAGGCAAACATATTATCATGTTGTTGTTGTGGTGGTGGTGGTGGTGGTGGTTGTGTGCCTTAAGTTGTTTCCTATTTATGGCAACTCTGAGGTCATATCATGGGGTTTTCTTGGCAAGGTCTATTCAGCAAGTGTTTGTCATTGCCATCTGGATGCAATGGATGCAAGCTGCAAGAAAAGAGATTCCACCTCAACAT